TAATAGCACATAATAATTTGTTTATGCCAATAACCAATAAATTATAAGCTTTGCAGCTTTTCAGAAATTCTGAGAGCTTTGGCGTTACCGCCAAGTAGCACTGCGTGAAAGATGGTTCTCATTGGTCCGCTCTCACTGTCACTCTCAAATGTCACGTTATAGCTGGACGTAATCCATGTACACACTAAGTGGGTAATTTGAATTTGTTATACGCATTTTAATTGTTTCTATTTCATAGAGTGAGAACTGTTAGCTCCGGATAAATTTATTTGAGTAATATAGGAATTTTATTAATATTGCTAATAAAATTATAACGTTGACGCATTTAAAAAGAAAATTCTCAGAAGTTCATATAAACTCTTGTACTTGTACGTGCCCTTACTTTGCTGCTGCGTGCACGCAAAATGTATTTTCGATAAATTTTGTTAATTTGTTAATCAAAACACCATATTTTTAGTATTTCATAAGGGTCTCAGGTTTTAGTAGTAAGAAGATTTACTTTTACATGCCCTTACTTTTCCGCTGCGGGCACGCAAAATTTATATTGAACCAATTTGGAATATACCGTAGATATACATTCATGTATATTACCGGAATATTTGTTTTGAACATACTAGGTATATTCACCTGCACATATACACAATATGTACATACCTGGCATGTTCATCTGCACATATACCCAATATGTACATATATGTACATACCTAGGATATACTTCTTATGAACTTTGATGAATATAAATGCATGTATACTCCACGAACATTCATGTTAGGAATGTTCAACCATCTATATTCCCAGGATATTCCCGCAATGTTCTGTATATTTTTTGAACATTCTGGGATATTCATAGAATATCAAATGCTATCTGGGAAACTCTATGTTTTTGATTTTACTATCCATTTCACTAGCCTTTTCTTGCAAAACACTGCCACTTATGGGAACGTTTTCTTGTCTTTTTTGAGTAAACCACTTAATAAATCCCTTGTCAACCTCTGCATGTGCAGATAATTTTAACTTCTTACATCTAACATTTGTTTTGTCATAGCTGATAAAATGTTTTCTCTGTTTTTTCATATTGTTGCAACAGTAGACTTCCCAAGTGCTAATTCCTTACAAATGTCACTCTGCTTTACTCCACTTTTTATTTTGTTAATAATCTCGGTACTTTTCATTAAGTGAAAAAGCTTTGCGTTTTTGTGTTTCCATTCTAAAACGATTTACATACGTATATAACGCGACAAAAAACAAGTCACTGCCTGTCTTTCGCTCTCACTAATATAAACAACTCCGCACGCTTCGTGTTGCTGAGCGTGAAAGTTCGTTATAAACGGAAAGTGAATATACAACTAAGCTAAAAAGTGATCGTTATACCCGGAAGTTCGTTATAAACGGGATCGTTATACCCACTAAAAAAATACGTTGGCCTTTATGGATGACGTTTCAATTAGAGGAGAAAAGTTCGTTTTAACCGAAAGTTCACTATAACCGGGTTCATTATAAGCGGACTTTATTGTATATTAACATTAATTAACTTCATTCGTAGAAACTGCTTAATTTAAAGTGTTCCTTTTTATTTTATGTTCCAAAAAGTTTTTCTTTGTCATTTTGGTCACTCCCCGAAAGATACTTTGCAAAAACTCTTAAATAAACTGTACAGAAACCAGAAAGAGCAAAACGATGTCTTTTTGAGGGAGGGAAGTTCGATATCGAGGCACAAGCGCAATCATAAATGCGGAAGCCGGTCCGAAAGCTGCGTAGTACATTTTCATTGTACATTTCGCGATGCGCCGAACCAACGACCGCTTCCGTACTGCAAGCTTCAGTACAATTAGTGAAACGCTCGGTTTGTTTGCATCGGATCGTCACGAAATTCCCTATTTCGAATGTGCATAAAAATTGTGTTTAACTACTCTAATCAGACCTGAAAATTTTATAGAATATTGGTGCGATGTCGAAAGAACTTGCTCCAGATGTTGTCGTCACAATCAAGGAGTTAATTGCAATAATATCCGGTTTTGAAGTAAGTATAACCTCAAACATTTGTTTATCTTCAATTTAAAAAGCATTCTGATTCAACGCAGCCCGTTTATTTGATATATCTTTATGTTGCAAACGATTTGCTGAAGCCCTAGTATAAATACTACTGCAACTTTGATTAATTGGGTGCTAATGTACGTTTTTCGCTTCGCTTTAATTAATAATTTAGAGTTCACAGTAGCTATTATGTTATTAATATGTAATTACTTAAGTTTTCTCCTTTTTTCTCTAAAATAAGCTAACTAGATATTAAAATATTTGTCTATAACATTACTAATAATAAGCTAGGTAATTTTAACTTGATTAGGTACATATTTATTCACCTTTAGCACACATCAGCTATGGTTCATGCCTTAATTAAATTTAAAATGGGTTTCGTTGTCTCCCCTGTATAGAATGACACTCAGCGCACTTCTTATCACTTAAGGAATGTTTTCTCTTTGTTTAAGTTCTACTTAGGTAGATTTGTACTACTTCTAGCTCCTGATGATGGCCACTTATGTGCCCGAAAAATGTTCAGCGTGACCTCTTAATTTGGAGGTCCACCTTCATTCGTAAATTTATACCAGTTGAATTCCAGAAATACATTTTGCACATAAAGGATTATTTAAAACCAAATTTACTTATTTATCTACTTATTTTATGTGACTACCAGCTATGGATTCTATTTTACATTGACATCGTTAAGAAATATGGCATATCTTGTTTTGTACATCTACTTAAGTTGCTTTCGAGCTTTAAGTATAACTTCGCACTTTTTTATGGTTTGTCACGTTACGTAGACGAACCAAAACTGTTTTTAGGGACAAGTGATTTATTTTCAAACTTTAGAACTTCCTAATTGCAATATTTCAACGAAGCTTTTGTGTTGGTATTTACTAACTCGGAACACCGATTTTGAAAATCAGAAGCTATACAAAAAACAGAAATTCGAAATATTACCGATGTATACAAGTACCTAATCCATTCCATAAAATTCGATTTGGAGTCTTACCTAGCAGCTGCCTATTCGAAAGTCGGGGAAACCAGTTGAATTAAAAATTAAGAATTTGAATTAATTACTTAGATCTGTTAACAGCAAGCATTGAATGTAAGCGGAAAGTCGTCTTAATCCAGAAGTACAAGTTGTGAGAAAATGACACGTTAGTAATTATTTTAGAGGAATAGAGAATAAAGATGTGTTTTAAGTGCGATAACTATACTATAACAATTGCTTTCTCAAGCTCGTGCTCTTTTGCATCCGTTGCAATGCAAACGGCAGCAGTAGAATGCATTGATGGAAATATATTTTTTTGTGTTGACCTGGGTTGCCTTACGTTTTTCCATTCTCCCAATGTATTTCCATATCGCGGAGCAGATTAGATTACTTTCGTTTGTTTGCTACGATTTTCGTTCTTTTATTTTAAACTAACAACACGGTTATTTCACTGTACTCGTCAACAGTTTGATTCTCATTTTGTAGTTTGATTTTCAGTTTCAGTTCAGTTTTTCTTTTACTTTTCAAATGTATTCACATAACTGGGTTTGACCGAACTCAGTGTAAACCTAAGCTCTGAGCGCCAGCTGCACAAAACTAATTGAATCTCACTTCAGGTTCAAGTTTAAAACTTTCATTTGTGTTGTCGACGCATTTGGCTTGTGTTTCAAATTCAGGTTGAGTTCAGTTGAACCGAGCGTAAGCGCTTCAATTGTACAACCGTGCCTTAGCGATATTATTGTTAAGTCAGCGATTGCATTATTTTCAGAAGTAATATAAGCTATCGTTTGTCTTATTCTTCTGCTTATATTCGCAACTTTGTTAAATATAATTTTTGGGAATATGGCTTCACAGTTAAAATACACCTTTTTCATGTAGGCATGCATTTGTAAACTAAAGTGTACGTATCTCTCGAGAATATTTCAATTTAACAAAGAGGAAACCCATCATCAACGATTTAAATGTATTTAAACATTAAAAATTGTTAGATCTAATGAACTGTGTTTGTTGACGTGAACCTAAAATTTCAAAGTCGGCAATAGAAAAATGGGGACCTTTCGTTAGAAACATGAGAATTTTTTTTTCTCACACGAGACGGTTTACTTTGCTTTTTGAATTCCTATTGCATATCAAAATGCAGTTTAACCGGGAACCGATTGTGAAAGAATATGTCGGAAATTTGATTTCCAAAATTGTTTAGATAGGTACCTACTAAGTACTTCTAATTGTTGCTTTTTCCTGGAGTAAATTTTTGCAATTTATTTTGTGTAATTTCTTTCTTTTATTTCGTTGTTTGTATTTAGTTTGCGATTCTTTTACTATTAATAAAATTGTTTGCGCCAACAGTTCTTTGTAAGTAGTATTTTCGATGTCTCGCTTTTTCACAATCTCAAAGTTAACAATATTAGTAACGGTGTTTGTGAGACTTTTACAAAAAGTCTGAGGCATGAAAACGTAATTAGCTAGTAAATCTTGCACAGATCAGAATAGGCATTTGTGGTCGGAATACAAAATAACCAGACCATCCTGTAAAAATCATACAACGCATAATAGAACATTCAGAAAGAACTTTGTAATCATTCAAAATAACCTCCAAACAAACGTTTCAAGGTAATTTTAAACGCTCAAGGTATCGGCCAAATTGTAAGAATTGGACAGATTCGGAATATATAGAGAGAAATAAAATATCAATAAAAAAATGCTAGGTTTTAATTGTGTAAATAAAATGTAGCAGCTAAAATGGTCTAAAAATTGAGTACTATTTAGGCTTGCGTAATAGCGCATGCAGTGCAATATTTTATCATTTGGGCAGGATCATCAACAACATTCAAAAGTGCACTTGTTATTTCTGTTACCAAAAAATTTTGTTCGAGGGACGTTGCAAATAAATATTCACATTCATTTCCAGAGCACTCTCATTTATAATAACTTAACGTCTACTTGTGCTATAACCGAAAGTACTGAATTGCATACTACGTATGATAAAACCTATCAACCAGAATGATCTATTACTATTTTTTTTTACTTTTAGGAAAACACGGAACACTTCGCTCACATCCTAAAATATTTTACTGCAAAACTAAAAAAGTCGGATACAATGTACTTTGCCAGCAAACGGGAAATCGACAACAACATCAGTGGCATGAGTGAAAAATTTTGTTTTCACGGATTTTTTCCACAGTCAAATGCTTTGTCGGCGGCATATAAAACTTATCTTTCAGAGCTACTTCCCAAGTCAGAAATGATGTCTAGACTTAATGTTGTAAAATTTTTACTCTGTCTGTCTGATTCGCCAACAAAGCATTTTTTAGAAAATCCAGAGTTGCATGCCGAAGAACCGAAGCCGAAAGAGGAATGCGATATTGATTGGGGAGCATATTTGAATGCAGGAGTTGAACCATGGACACCTAATTTTGATGAAACAAGTGTAAGATTGATTTATTTTTACGTAGGTATTTTCTTATTGTCTTAAGGTATGTGGAGTCAATGTAACTTCCAGTTTAGGTTTACAATATTCAAACCTTCTTTATCCATTGATGGTATGTGCATACATTTTAACAATTTATTTTTATTAAATTAACATAAAATATTTTTAGTCTGTATTTTTTATCAAACAGCCCTTCTCTTCCGAAAGCAGCAGATTTAGTTTGAAATATGAAGACATTTTGCAAAAAATTATACCCGGTGAACATGGTGAACATTTAAATGCTTCAGTTAAAATTAGAACGGTAATGTTCTATTGATGACACTCATTCAAATATTTGTCAGTAGATGATACTTATCTGAACTTTATTCCAGATTTTACTGGAAAAATAAATTCTCTATACTAGAGTTTTCTAAACCGTGTTTCACTAATAATGTTCCATTATCGAAAAAGTTTGGGAAACCTTGTTATATACCAGTAAAACCTTTATTGCAAAAGGCGAGCATCAACCCAAAATGAGACATGAGACGTGTTACGTGAATTTTTGTTGACATGTATATCATTTTGAGAATGAGCCATTTAAAAATGGACTATATTGCATATTCTAAACATTTTTAAATTGAATGAAATTTATAAAAACATATTTTTCTAATACTGTTTAAAAAACGAGTCAGCCAATTTTAATGAAATTTGCACAGATTGTTGCTTACGAAACTAGTGCTGAGTTTCGAATCAATTACAATATTTAGAGGCAGGATCTCAAAAAGCAACTGGGTAGCAAAACGCGAAAACATCTGGTAATTTTTATCTATTGTAGATGATAGGGTGCCTAGTTCGGCTAGCAGACACTACGAAAATTGTATAAATAAGTAAGAAATAATAAGAATATGTATATATATTTGTTGTAAATTTGAACACTCTGGATTACAAAAATGCTCTGCTTTCAGGCATATTCGTATATAGAAAACATGTTTATGTCCCCTACCGCCCCTAAAAGTATTTAACGGCTTATTTATGGAAGATCCTGTATATGTTAGTCTCACGATTTTCACGTTTGGCATTGCAATTAACAGCTTAGAAATTACTGATCACTTTTCTCAGGATATTAAAGTATTTATTATTTTTAAACGAAATTTAGAATAAAATTATTTATGTTCCTCGTAAAAAAGCGTAGAATTATTTTTAATGTCAACTTCTCGTGAGCTTAATGGTGTACGCGCAAACAAAAAATTAAAAAGTTATTTGTTACTATTTTCATGGCGTGACGCAAGCTAAATAGATATTCATATATATTTATTTAATTTCTGATGTTAAGTAAAAGTGCAGATAGATAATTTTTATGACTCAAGTTTATAATTACGTATGTTGTGTTCATAATTACAGGAGGACGATTCTGATAGCAGTTTACATGATGAGCGGAGCGGAGAGTTATCTGAAGACTTCAATGGCGAAACACTGCCAATCCAAATTAAAAGTGTTGAAAGAATATGCGTTATGGATTTGAAATTTAAGCGCGAGGAGCTACTAGCGACTATACAACATTCCTGGTATAATGACGACAGCTTCATGATGCGACCAAAGAGTGATTGGAGAGAAGCTAATATTGGAATTTTGTGGTAAGTGAAAATGCGATGAATGGAAAATTTCAGTTCCAGTGAACAGGGACTATAATATGAATGCAAGCTTTTCTTCGTTTCAGGGAGGAATACCTTCAAGATCAATTCCAAGGTTTAGCGTCTTTGAAATCATCATCAATTATTTCAGAATATAAGGTTATTCGAGAAATTTTGTGGCAGATTTGGAAACCACATAATTCATGCACCATACAGTTGGTTGGCAACAGCATCAAACCAAGACCAGATGTATCATTAGCAAGTATTAGATCAGTAAGTCGAATATTCAATAGCCGAAACGAGAACTAACCAAATCATTTTTTCTACCCTAGTACGCTTTTTACAACTATATGAACGAATTTTTATCTTACATCGAATTGATGGATTTGTTTAGAAAATTTGATAATTCTCTTCAAGAAGATGTGGGTGCCGACATGATATGCCGTACATATCAAAGTTACGGCAGTTCAATTAGGAAGATCTGTGATCCCATTTATAAACGTTTATCTGAGCTAGAAGACACAGTTAGACAACAAGGTAAAATTCTAAGTTATTACTGCACTACTTGCTGTTTATAAAACATCTTGTTCTAGAATCGACTTTCACTCTGCTTAATCTTGCCAGTGAATTGCGGATTATAATGCAGCCTCTCAAAATCCTGAAGGACATACATGATCAAGTAACAATCGATTACATCAAAAATTCTCCATTAAATTGCGCCACAATTCTTATTGCAAGACTTCATGAATCTCTAAGTTTTACAACGAATAAGCTAGAGCAAGATTTAAAATTAACTTTGTTTATTGATACTGTTTTTTATTATATTTCCCTGGTTGACTCTTGGTTGATGGGTGATGATCTAGCCGATTATGCAAAGGAATTTGTTGTGGAAAAGTAAGAATTAATACGTGCCTAGAATAACTTTTGACTAACGACTTTAATAGCTAACGAATGTTTCAGAATTGTCAATTCAGATCCACGACAAGCACAGTTTGTTGCGAAAAACAATGTCTCAGATCACTGCAGAACTAATACTTTTCTGAAAATATTTATGGATCAAATTTTAACAGTTGGTAGGAATATTAGCTTTCTGAGGCTTTTAGGGCAATACGATGTAATCGGAGATTCGCAAGGTAACCAGTTTAGTGAAATATAGTAAAAATTCCAAATATTTTACACAAATACGCATTATTGTGTAACTGAAATCAGCGTTGTGGTATTTTTAAATGTTTTAGAACCAATTTATAATGAGTTCCTCCGGGAAATATTCAAAGAGTTGCAAACATTTCCTAATGAAAAAGATGAAAGTACTGAAATGAAACACAAAGAACTAACCCACGGTGTGAGCCGAGAGCACTATATATTTCCTGTAGTTGAAACTGGGATATGCAGGTCAAGTCTAGACATGCAAAAGCAGGAAAACTTGGTAGACGTAGAAGACGGGTTTCTAATGGCAGTTTTTGCGGATTTTTTTGGTACAAAACCTGAAATTGAACCAACAAAGAGCGAGCCGACGTTATACGAAAAGTAAGTCAAAGTTTTCAAAAATTTCTTTCGAATAGCTATATTTCTTTCGTTCCAGAATAACAAACAGCACCACAGGCCTATGTCCAAACGTCAACTTCTTTGAAACCATACTACTTAACATTATAGAACGCAGGTTTACCGTATCTGGTCTCATGGTTAAAAACTTGCTAATTGAAGAGCATCTCTTAGAGAAACAGTTCCAATATCTGAGACATTTGTACTTGTTTTTTGATGATATTATATTTCCGTTCTATAGAAGACTATTTGAAAAGGTATTTTTAATAACTTTTTGATCTATATTTATATAGTTTACGTACAAATTAAAAGCCAGACATTAATTTATACGTAAAATGGATAGATAGCGCCTTGGCTTTAACCAAGTAGCTTATTTGCGATCAAAGAGTGTAAGCTTTTGTAACTAGAAAATTGCGAACGGTTTTCTGCGTTACCGGCTGGTGTTCTATGGTATATTTGCTTTATATTTGTACCGAGTGGCGCACACAGGGTAAAAGGTAAGCTTCAAAAACGTATTACATATGTAGTAAATGTGATTCTTTTGTAATATAATGTGAAACTCGTTTTCAACTATGCAGCAAATAAATTTGACAATTTAAGAAATTGTACAGCTTTTCTATTGGTTATTGGCTGTGCACAATTTATGACAAAATTGAAATACCTTTTTTGCTACTTAATTCAGGTTTAATGCCAATGTGTCCAGGATGATGTAAGTTTCCACTCAAATTTAATGGGTTTAATCCTTTTAAAAAAATGCAATACAATAGCAACTTCTAAAATTAAGCGTTTTCCAGATAATAGCGATTTTTTTGACGAATGATATGTAAAAGTTCGCAATTATCGCTGCTTACAACTAACATTAGCAAAAATCTACACTAAATAAACCCTTAAAGGCAATAATAATTACAACTACATAAATAATTAAATAAACCGAATCAGCTGCGTTCATGATTCAGGCGTGAAAATATTCCGATCTCAAAATTATGTTGAGCTGATGAATCGTCTCATGTCGTAAAATGCCGAAACACATTTTTAAGTACGAAGGTCGTTTGATAAGTTAGTGACTTTTTGACTTTTTCCGGCGCAGTAACTTATGGGGACTGTTCATCATCAATTTCAATGCTTAACAAGTGAGTTACTGAGTTTCATTGTAGTCGTACCAGCACAAATGACACAGAACGGCATATCAACTGAGAGCGTACAGCACATTTTACATGAATATTTGGATATTAAGAAGCTATCCGCACTGTGATTGCTGACACTCGACCATAAGCGCTCCCGTGTGACCATTTCCGAACTAGTTTTTGCGACGTTTCGTAACTGTTGACGAAACGTGGATCTTGTGAAAAACACACCAGAAACCCAAGAACAATCAAATCAGTTGGTTGCTTCAGGTGAACCTGCACCAAAGAAGGCCAAAATGGGTCTGTCGGCCAACAAGGTGATGGCCATAGTTTTTTCGGATGCATGCTGTGCAATTCACATCGATTACCTTGAAAAAGGTAAAACGATCACTGGCGCATACTATTGAGAGCTTTTGGACAGATTCGATGTTGACTCGAAGCTAAAACGGCTGCATTTGGCGAAAAAGGTGCTGTTTCATCAGGACAAAGCACGGGTGTAGTCGCCATGGCAAAAATCCATGAATTAAGCTACGAACTGCTACCCCACCCAGCATATTCTCCAGATTTAGCCCCCTGGGACTATTTCCTGTGTCCAAATCTGAAGAAATGTCGGGGCGGTAAGAGATTTCGAAATGGAAAGGTCATCATTGAAACGAACGCATAATTTGAGCACCTCTAGAAATTATATTATTTGGAGGGATTTAAAAATTGGAAATACACTGGGCTAAGTGTATCCAGCTAAAAGGAGAATGGAGATTGGAGAAAAAGAGACGTTGAGAAATATAATAATAATAATAAAAGGTTTTTTGGCCAAAAAAATGATTTCGTTCAAAAAGTTACTGACGTTTTGACCACCATCCGTGAAAAAAAATGTCATTCGAGATCTAGTAACGTAATTATCTCGTTTAAACGGCTGATTTTAGACGTTTGATCGTATAGTATTGTTTAGAAGTTAATTAAAATTTTCACCTGATGATGCAAAAACATATGAGTATGATGTAAAACCATTTTAAATACGTGAGAAACTAAGTCAAAAGTTTTTATTTCTAAGATGAGTTGCCCGACGTTCCTTATAAAATTACATTTATTACTTTACACAAATTCATTTCGATAATTCTTTCATTAATTTCGTAATTTAACATTGTGAGTAATTCTGAATCGGCGTTGAAATGTTCTGAATTTTGTCTTACACTTTCATATGTTTCTTTAAAATGTCAAGAAATGTTGATTTTTTTGCATTGTGGATTATTAGAAATTACTTATATTTTCTTACAGAATTTAATAAAATAATCAGATCAAGAAAAGGTGTTCCTTTTAAAAAAATATCTGTTTAAATTTTACTTTGTCTGGGCTACTCTATAAAGGGTGTTTTACGCAGGTCGTGCATTAGAAGTATTAATATATTTAATCTATTCAAATATCTTAACTCAAATCTCTCACTAATTTTAGCTCTCTCACTATCATGTGTTATTGTTGAGACACAAATTTGAATGTAAATGTGAACTACTTTTAGAATGAACATTCGCGAAAATACTGGAGCAACACCATCTGGCTTACCTCCCATCTACAGGATATATTCATGGACATGTACCCAGAATTCTACGAAAAGTGTTCCGTTCAAGTAAAAGATGAGTTAGCTTTGTGTGCAGACTCTAACTGGTCTTTCAATTTAATAAATGTAAACTACGATATGCCATGGCCTATTAGCATTATTATTAACCAACAGCAGATGGAGTCTTACAAGATGATATTTAAGTTTCTATTGAATCTCAAATGGGCTTTGTACACAGTTAATCATTTAATGTTTACAGGTAAGGCAATTCGCACTTACTATAAAATATTTAAAATGTCTTTTTCAATTCTTTGTATAGTTCAAAATTTCACGTTATTGGGGATCAAAACATCTAACAAAACGAGCACCTTTGACTATTGTTTTGATAAGTTAATAATTTTTAGATATGCAACCGAAAGCAATATATGGAAAGAAAACACAGAAAAGCTTTAAAGTAGAGAACTCTAAGAACAAAATAACCGGAAATTTATTTCGTTTGAAGTTCTCGTTGATCAATATTCTTAATAACTTGCAGCATTTTGTATTTGGTTACGTTTTCCAAAAGAATTTGCTCCAATTTGAATTAGAGTTTGAAAAAGCCTACGATTTAAATTCGTTAATTAAGTCTCATGATGGCTTCATAAGATGCGTATCTGGAGCGATTGAAGAACTACAGTATCAAATGTACGAAAAGGATAAAAATAACAATGTAAGTTTCTAGTTGTTCACTTACTTTCCGCGCTATTGTAATTGGATTTTATAAAATTGCAGATATTTGTGTGCATTAAGTTACTGAAGCTGATGTGGGACAACTCTAGGTATGCCACTCTGGAGCGTATTATCGAATGTGATAAAATATATAATACTTTCTTCACTGATATTTCCCGAATAATATTTCCCAATTATGTTTACGATTATTAAAAATGAAATGTTGTTACTGTTTTATAATTGTTGCCATATTAATTAATATAATTTTGATACAAATCCTTAATTCATTGACGCTCCCAATCAGGAATTTGCATAAAATAACCATTATTTGTTTGAGTGCAATATTGGCTACTGACATAGTCAAACTGTCGAGTAGATATATTCAGAAAAATTCCAAGAGCCATATTGTGATATGTATGTGTATGTATACTGCTAAACCATGGATTTCTGAAAAAATGCACGAGACTCAACATAAACTTAACGTATACTCAAAAGTTGATAACCGAATAATAAGATGACAAAATAATATATTTCCGTACATTTTTTTTTAAATGCAGCCGCTTTAAAGTCCTTAGTACCATTTTTAGACACAGTGTTAAACTGAAGCAAACTTTGAAGAGTTTCTTAATATTGGTGTGCTTTCAATACATCGCGTAAGTTCTAATAAACATTTAGCGGTTGAAACTCAAAAACAGTTTTTAATTTATCATTCATGGGACATGCGAAAGACTAAAATTACCAAGAAGCTTAGAACAATACAAGAACTGGGCGACGAATAATTCAGAGAATGTAAACTATGCCCTTTGCTGCAGATACGTGGCGTGGCTCATTTTCTTAAATTTCCTGTTAAAATTATTTGTGCACTAGCAAAAAGTATTTGGAACATTTGTTACTATGAATTTCACTAAAGGCTGTTTGTGCAACGTTATCGCTGACCGATAGTAAAATGCTAATCTGTATTTAAAATGAAATAAAATTTAAGAAGTAATAAGTAGGTTGATACTCGTTCCAATTAAAATGCATTATATTACTTAAAAACGCTTCCTGAATATACAGAAGGCCATAGCAAATATGATGTTTCAGAGAACATGTAAAAGCTCGGACGGTAATTGCCCAACTTAAACTAGAGCGAACACTTATTATCATATAGAGATCCACAAAAGCGCCGAGACAGAGCTTTACGGTGTTACAGTTTCAAAAGCTTTAGATTTTTATTGCTTTCAGATTTTTTGGTGGCGAATTGAATTGTTGAAAATAAGGAGCGTCTCCAAAGTCCTTTTAAGAAGAATTTCTAAACTAAATATGTTTTATACTGTATTAGAAAAACTTGGATTTCATTTATCTGATACATGTAAAAAAAAAATATAACTAAATTTTTTATGGATTATATTTTTGATGAAGATTCTTGAAAATTTATTTATTCAGTTCCATAAGTGAATTTAATAATTTAAAGTTCAAAATATGTTTCGTAAAATTGTTCTAGCATTTTTACAATCAGCTCAAAAAGTATCATTCTTTGCTATCAGGCATTTTTAAATAATTTCACTCACATGTTCTGTGATATAACAAAAACTAGAATTGACATTTGATTGGAGGTTTAATTATCACCGGAGGATCAAATATCCACCGATCCAATCCAATTATGGCTAACTGTTCAGGGTGAAGCCACATACTCTATATTTTTATACATTTAGCAAATTGTATCTAACAGAATTAGGGATTTACTATGATTTAGTCCGACAAGCAGGTTAATCCTCTAATCTCTTACACTAGAGGAATCATTCCAGCCTAAATATTAATTGATAGCAAAAGTTGCAAGTTTGCTATTCCTATGGAGTTTATGTCAACACTTTATATGTGGAAATTGCGAAAATGTACAATTCCTTTTCTTCACCCAATCAAATCCAGGGCAATCGACTGTACCGACATAATTTTAAAAAATATTTGCTCAGTAGTCGTTGCGTTGGCGGATTTATCTGTTTTTGCAGCTCTATAAGTGGATTAATAAATAATAATTGTTGGGAGTTGGTGCAATCTTTTAAAACACCCTGTATTTTAATTTTTTACATCAGCATTGTTTTAAAACGTGATACTTAATTATTATGTTTATTTCCTTTTGTTCAAATTTCCCCTAATGTTATTGTAATAAGCCATGTGAATGCACGGAGAATTAATAAAAATAGTTTTTTAAACGTTTTTCTATATTTATGCTAACTAACTCGGGTCTTTAAATTTTATTTTACTGTAAACCGCATTTTGATTAAATAAACGGCCAGATTTATGGAGGGATGAGAATAGAAGCGCTTGAATTTCTAAATCCTAATGGCTTTAGTTCAGGAACTACGTTATTCTGCTTAAACCAAGTTTGCTGCTTAAAATAGTTGTCCCTAAAATATGACCTGATATTTATTTCGTTTAATCAATATCAGTTTAGTAATATATATTGCTTAAGTTAGAAAATTAAATTCCAGTTTGAAAACAGTAAAATTAACATAAACATTAATAATAAAGGGTGGTTTTTAGAGGTATAGAACTTTAAACTGAAATAAAACGTACTAAAATCATGGTAAATTTAAATTAATATATTGGGTGGCCCATCGAGAAGTTTCGGATAGTTTTGCAGTCATATTAACAATAATATGCTTGGCCCATTCCTGCTCGTTTTAGGGTTGACAGTTTCACCAAAATGTTTCAAACTAGTAAAATATATGTTGTGATTGATCTCCGAATGGCATTTGATTATCGGTGAGTAAATAACAAATTTGTAATCGCTATGCTTGAATTACAAAAATCAAGCGTTAAAAATAATTTAATCCCCAAAAATTTTTTCTACTAATAAAATTCACTACGTATTAAATGTTGGAGATGCCTCCCAATGCGTTTCATCTCTGTAGGAGTTGAATGTGAACCTTGTGATAAAATATGTGCTTGTCGTGGATCAGAAGCCACAGTTTAGAAACACTTATTAGAGAACCACAAGTTAAAACGATAGTTCGGATTGCCTTATAGTCTGTTAATTTATTATCTCGCTATAAACTTATACGCGATTGTTATTATATTGTTCAGTCAATGTAATTTTCACGCCATTTAGTATGTTGAATGGGGAACCGCCACTTGAACTCGTACCCGATTTTGTTTTTTGTTTGTTCGTATCTCACAGTTTATCGAAATTTTGCAACTAATTTTAAGATGTAACTCTGAAACGACTAGACCAGTTCCACTCCGTTCGGAATATATTAAGCCATGTTTAAATCCCGATTGAAGAAAATACCGCCAAACCGATATACTGGGAAAAATAATTCAGTAATAAGGATGAGAGTGAACTACTTTCAAGACAGTGAACTTGTAAACTGGTGTTTGTCAGTTGAGTAAACATTTTTTTGCGATTAAACCTGTTGGAAATAATAGGTACATTTCGAATTCCAGGTTTATTTGCCAGCACGGGTTTGGATGGCATTGGAAAAGTTAATCGTGGTTGGATAGATATCTTAACGCCTTTTGAAAATATGTAATCTCATATTGGCCCTTTAATTGGAAACATTAACAAAACTTACAGTGATTGAAAATCGAGAAACACACCCAGAACAGGAATTTCAGCGTTTGCTCATTTTTTTAATAATGTAGGAAACCTTCCTGAGGACATTGCCGTAAAACACCCTTTTTGAGCAGGTACTTTTACTATCGGAACTATAAGGGATATTTTTGCTGTATACACAGACGTGGGGAAAAGTACCCTAGCACGTGCACATTGATTTTCGTGGAAGTACGTGAAAGTATGGGGAAGTATGACAAACTATCTTTCGTTTGGATAAAGAGGAGTTGTCCTCTATAGTACAACATCAACATATTAGTCTGGCATAGATTTGATAACATTTTGTATTGGATTTGGTAAAATGTGCTGGAAGTTTCTCTGTTAAAACGAAAATACTCGATGTAAAATTGACTTACATCCGAAACGTCCGTAAATAATAGTCCGAAATTTTACATAGTTCGTGTTTGTGCTTAATTTTAAAGATATTTTGAAGAAGAATTGCATGAAACAATGACATTGCATTGCTGAGAATACTGGCGATTCGTGCGTCTTTTTCTTTCCACTAGATGCATTCGCCAAAGAAAGTACCTTTTACAACAACAAGGCATTTGGCATACGAAAACTAGTAGGTACCGAATCCGCTTTTTTTAAGCGGCCTTATAATTCAAAATTTAATTTAAATTTAAAATTTATTAAACGGAAAAAAATCCATGGCAAATTATACAATGCGTATAAAAATATTAAAATACAATAAAAATTCACATAGAACAGTAACAGATAAATAATCAATAAATAAATTACATGTTACTCAGCTTTAGTTCGGACTTAAATATCCCAAAGAAATATCGAAAAATGGCAAATCTAAATTGTTAGCAGTCCTGCATACTCTGTCGATAATCATAAAATGACTGTAATTGGTGTTATGGGTTGCCATGCAAAATATAGATTGACTTCTGAGCGCTATCTTAGGCACATAGAAATTCAATTTACTGGAAGGGGAATTTATATGGTAGTTGATCAATTTAAATAAAAGTATAATTTCACTTTCCAATCCTCTATGTTCAAGCTTTTGAATTTCTAATTGATGTCGTAATTGTTGGTAAACCAAATTATCTAAAGGTAGGTATAAATGCCTTGTAGGCGCAGTACCTTATTTATATGTACATGATAACTAGGCGACCATATAATATTGGTATATTCCAAAATACTCCTGACACAAGACATATACACCACTTTTATACATTTAATACTACTGAAGTCTTTAGTTGCTCGTTTAACATATCCAAACATTCTCCAGGCTCTATTTTTGGTAATATCTATGTGGTAATTAAGTGAAATCTTAGCATCAAAGTACACACCCAAATCAATACAATTCACTGATTCCACTTCAACTTGTTTTATCATATATGAAAATAAAATGTTCTGTTTTAGACGAGAGAACCGCATAACATTGCAGATATGTTCAATTGCATAAAATTAAATTCACACCAGTTATTCAGAGCATTTAAATCCGCTTGTACATTTAAACAATCATCAATACAGGTTATTCTTGAATAAAGCTTTAAATCATCAATTGTCGCCAAGTCCCAAAGCTTGAATATAAAAATTTGGTGAGGTACTTTGTCGAACGCCTTCGAGAAGTCAGTATAGAACGCCTTCGAGAAATTCGGCCCTGTAAACCTTTTGAGAGGTGGTCCATGTCAACTCAACAGGAAAAAATATATACTTTGTTTATAAATTTTGAAATAGCC